CTATCCTTGGTCATAACAGGAAGATATAAATCTTCCTGTTTCATTTTACAAAGCCAGTAAAATTTTAATAATAAAACTTTATCATGATAGCATCTAAAGTAAAACTGTAGAAAATCTCAATTATAACTAAAAACTAGATCGTTTACAATGAAATGTTAGCAAAAGAATCCAGACATCCATCAAAAGAGTAATACACTATGACCAAGTAGGTTTTAATACAGAAATAAAAGAGTAGTTAAATATGAAAGTATGTATCAAATAATCTTTTACATCAATAAATTACAAGAAAAAAACATGATCATATTCACTGATGCTGGAAAGGTATCTCATAAAATTTATAAGCCATTTCACTAGCACAGGTAAAGAATTTGTAACTCTTCAAAAGAGGGTTTACAATGAAAAAAAGCCTTCTTCTCATCACTGTCCTGACATTGAAACTACAGAATATCAAGGGAAAAAGAAACTTAAAAGCAGCTGGAAAGGCAAGAGAGATTATCTACAAAAATGTGACTCACTTCCAGCAAACAGCTCAAAGTTAGAAATAAGTAAAATAATACCTTTAATATGTAAAAGAAAATAACTATGCAAAATTTCTGCAATAAATAAAAATATGTTTCAAGAACTGGGGTAAAATAAAGACATTTTCAGAAAAAGAGTTGAGAGAGTTCACTACCAGACCATTATTAAAGGAAATTCTAAAGAAAGTACTTCAGAGAGAAAATCTCCCTGAAAGTTTAAGATTCAAAGCAGAGTAATGAGCAAAGATATTGGTAAAAACATTGGTCAAATTAAGAAAACAAAAATAAAATAACTAATTTATAGAATGAGAGAATAATGAATAACTGATATACTGGACAGCAATAGCATATAAGTTGAAAGGAGGTGATTGTAGTTAAATCTCTCCTTTATATTTGAATTTTAAAAAGGAAGATAAAAGAATTTATTAACTTTAGGGTAATTACCAAAATATTCAGAGCAGAATAATAAAATATACGGTGAAAGCAAAAATATAATGAGATAGTGAAATAAATAATATTACAAAAATTCTCAATCAAGGTGAAAGAAAGCCAAAAAAGGGAGGGAGTATAAAAAGTGGGACAAATACAAAGAATGTAATAAAATAATCAAAGTAAATCCAAATATATCAGTGATGACATTAAATGTATGTGAACTACAATCCCCAGCTAAAATACAAAGATTATTAAAATGATTTTTTTAAAAAATCTTCACATGTGATATTTCCAAATAACACATCTAAAACATAAGAAAAGAGAAAGACTGAGCATTATAGACTGAGAAATAGTATACCAAGCTACTGTTAATGAAAGAAAATAGATGCTATTTTAATATTATACAAAACAGATTTTTAATAAAAAATCATTACTAGAAATTAAAACATTTACACTTAATGATGAAGGTAAACATGTATGTAACTAATAACTTGACTTCAAAATACATAAAGTATAAATAGAAAAAACGACAAGAAGATATTAATAGATTTAACTTGAGTAATAGATTTTAACATACTTATCTTAGAAATTGACAAATTATCAAGCAGTCAAAAACCAATAAGGACAAAGAAATATGAGTAGGATTATTAACACAGCCTACTAATGGACACAAATAGGATATTATGCCCAACAATTGAAAAATGCACATTATTTTCAAGAAAACATAAAGCAGTCATGAAACATGACCAAAATATGGGCCAAAGACTTCTAAGGATTAAATATATTTCTAAGGATTGGTAACATACAGAATCATTCCCTGACTATAGTGAAATTAGGCTGGAAAAAAAATGACCAAAAGATTAATAATAATTTTCCTGACAACTAGAACATCTCAACTTCTCATGAATTAAAAAAAAAAAGGAAATTAGGAAATGCTTAGATCTGAATGATATTCAAAATACTTTCTATTAAAACTTGTGGGATGCAGCTAAGGATACAGTTAGAGAGAAATTTATAGTTGTAAATTCTTACACTAGAAAAGAAAGTCTAAAATTTAAGGAACTAATATTTCAATTTATAAACTCTATATAAGAACAATAGAATAATCCAAGGAGAAAAATAATAAAGATATCAGCAGAAATTAAAGAAATAGAAAACAAAAATCTAATAGCAGTATTGAAAAATCCAAAAGAAAAAGAGAGTGAAGGAGGAAATAAACAATCCACTACAAATGAAAGAGGCATATTGCCGATGTGCAGGGATTAAGCAGACTTTAAATTTAGGATATTATAAATAAGTCTATCCTATGATGAAATGGTATGAATTAGATAAATGGATGAATTCATAGAAAATAAAGCTTATAAAAGTGCTCATTTATTAATTCTAACAAATATTTTTTCAATCATATATTATGTACCTGAAACTGCTTTTGGTTTCCGAGATGTTTCAGTGAAGGAAACAGCAAAAGATCTCTGACCTTGAGTAGCCTACATTCCAGACCACCAGTAGGAGAAGGCAGACAATAAAGCAAACACCGTAAGTCAGGAAATTATATGATACATTAGAAGATTATAAATGCCATGAAAAACCAGCAAGAAAATGTAGTTAAAAGCAGTTGAAACGGATCAAGTACAATGATGGGTGAGGGTAGTTCTTATTGAGAATGTGATATTGCAGCAAAGACTTTAAGCAGGCCAGGGTGTTACCCATACAGACATGTAGGAAAAGATGGTGGGTGGGAGTGGCCCAGCCAGGTGGAGGAAATGGCCAGTGAAAAGTCCCTAATGGGAGAATGTGTCTGGCAAGTTTGTTCAAGGAATAGCAAGACGGCCAATGTGGCTGGAGCAAGGGAGGAGAGTGATGGAGTAACATAAGATGAATAAACGATGCAATCAGAAATGTAATGAGGGGGCCAGGCCATGTAGGATACTGTAAGCCACTGGAAGGCATTTTGCTTTTAATCCTGTTACAATGAAGAGCCAATGAAGTATTTAAGCAGAGGAGTGACATCATCTGATTTGACTTAAATTTGTAAAGTCTCATTCTGGCTTCTGTTTTGAGAAAAAACGCTAAGGCTGTGCTATCACTTCTGTAGTCAGCAGACAAGTGTAGTTATTTAAATTTAAGTTTTATTAACCAATTTCTCAATCATGTTAACCACAGTTCAAGTGATCAACAGCCAAAGATGGCTAGTGACTGCCATATTGGATAACACAGATGTAGAACATTTCCATAATTGCAGAGAAGTCTTTTGGAAAGTACTGCTCTAGGAAGACAGAGCTGGAAACAGGAAAGTGAATAAATAGAGAGATGATTGCAGTAAACCACATGAGAAATGGTGCTGTCTCCAAATGGGCTGGTAGCATTGGCGCTATAAGAAGTGATTGACTTCTGCTTATTTTAATTCAGGAAGAAAGGATAGGTAATGTGATATAATTATTAAAGAAATTCAACCAATAGTTAACTGAAATTCAGTCAGTAGTTTTCAATAAGAAAACAATAGACCCAGTTGATTTTTCAGGGAAGTTCTAGCAGTTAAATACTAAATAATCCCAAACTTATACAAACTCCTTCACAGAACAGATAGAGAGAGAACACTTTCCAACCCATTTTATGAAATTAGAATGAACTTGATACTAAAACTTGTCAAGAAACACAGAAAAGAAAAAAATCCAATCTCACCTATGCATGTACATATATTAAAAAATTTTAAACAAAATATTAGACAACTGAATCCAGTAATACATAATAAACATAATACATCATAACCAAGATAGGGTCATCTTATAAACGTATGTTTATTATATTAGAAAATCTAATAATTCATGTAATTAATCATATGAACAGAAGACACAGGTGAAAAAAATTAGAAAACACAGAAGTGAGAAAACTGGAAACGATAATTATATTTATAATGCAATATAAATTAATAATATAAACTATAGAAACTGACCACAGAAGAGAAAGAAAATTCAAACAGATGAATTATCATAGTTGTCAAAGACCTACATACTATGCCCACCTCTCACTAGCATTCACTTAACACAGTCTGAGATATATTCATTGGGGAAATTAACCAAACATTTAAAGAATGGGAAACATCAATGCTACATAAACAGTTCTAGAGTATGGATGTGTGTTTATGTATTAAAAAAACTTTAAAGCTATTTTTATAAATCCAGCAAAAAAAATTATATCAAAATTTGATATAGTACCTAAATTTACAGTCTGATATCGATACAAAATTCAAAATAAAATATTAACATTCAGAATTAGCAGCACAACAAAAGAATTATACACCATAACTAAATGAAGTTCACAACAGTAATGCAATAAGTATTCATATTAGGAAATACATTAATATAATCTGTCATTTTAATACAGTGAAAGAGATAATCATATTATTTCTATCATTATGAATGATGAAAATACATTTGAAAATAATTCAACATCCATTCGTGGTAAAAACTAAACCTAGTGAAAATAGGTACAGACAGATATACATAAAGATAAACATAGAACTTAAATATAATAATGTTTATTTGAAAATGCTAGATGTATTCCATTGAATTTAGCAATGAGACAATGATATCCATTCTCGTTACTTAGAATTAAAATTATTCTGAAGTTATTAGGAAATGATAACAGATAAGAAAAAGAAATAAGTGAATAAAATGAAAAGATGGCATGTGAATTATCTTTATTAGCATAGAGTACAGAAAACCCAAGATAATCAACTGAAAAAATAGTAAAAGCAATTAAAACATTTTCTAAGTCTTAAAGTTTGAAATTAAGGCCAATCAAATAGAAAACTTCTTACCCAAAAATTGGAGGAGAAATCACACAATGGCCACAGAAAAGATATGTCTAGAAATAAAATTAATAAGAAATGCATAAGATTTGTGTGAAGAAAACTTTCAAATAGCATTTAAGACTTTTTGCAAATAGGTATATTGCAAAGATTTCAAGTTTAATTTATTATGAAGTTAATGTGACCACAAGTTTTTTTTTTGAAGAAACGTGTGGTGAAAACACAAGATCATTCAAAAGTTAATGCTTCTAGTGAATATGTAACAAAAAATGTAGTAAGAGGAAAAATAACAAGTGAGACTAGTCATACTACATATTAAAACAGATTAAAAATTAAAACAATAGTGATTAAGCAATATGTATTATTATATGACTATGTAAACATGTCACAGGTACAAAACAGAAAACCCAGAAATAGATCTAAGTATATATATGTGATGTTAATATCTGGTAAAGATAGCTTGGCATATCAGTGGGAAAGAGTCAGATTAATCAAGAAATGGTTGGTATTGACTTCTATTTAAAAAATATAAATTTTCATTCCTACTGATTCTTATATTAAAATAAATTGAAGAGGGGTCAAAGAATTTAAATCACAAAATGAACCCCTATATTACAAGAAAAGGTGAGTGCATTTAAAGTAATCTTCACTTGTTAAAGCTATAAAAGAAAAAAATGCTAAATTTAACTTCATCAAAAAATTCAAGTGTTTCTGGATTTAAAAACATAATAAAACAAAAGAAAACAATAGAAACAACTTTGTATACATATCAGTAAAAGGATTATTTTCCACAAGATAAAAAAGGGCCCACAGACCCATCAGAAAAATAATATCCAATAAAAATTTGGACAAAGACATAAACAGTTCAGAGTAAGGAAATAAAAATGAATCTTAAGCATGACACTCAATATTTTTTCTAAGAAAAACACGAATGAAATCTATGGTACGCCATTGTCCTCCTATGGAAACGTGTATTTTGCTGGCAGGTGTATGGGATAAAAGGCAGTCGTACACGCTTCGGTGGGAGTGTGTATTACTGGGGGCTGCCATAACAAATTGTCAAAAGCTCAGTGGCTTAAAACCACAGAAATTTATTCTCTGACATTTTGGGGGGCTAAAAGGCAAAAATTAGTTTTATGGAGCTGAAATCAAGGTGTCCTCTGGAGGCTCGAGGGGAGAATCAGTTGCTCGTCTCCAGCTTCTGGTGGCTCCTGTTATTCCTGGACTGGTGGCCTCATCCCTCACTCATGGCCTCTGTGGTCACCTTACCTCCTCCTTTGTTGTGTGTATCTGATCTCCTCTGGTGATGGACACTTGTGAAAGCATTTAGGGCCCTCCCGGATAATCTAGGATAATCCCATCTCAAAATCCTTAACTTAATCACATCTGCAAAGACCCAAATAGGGTAACTTTCAGGGCTCGGGGATTAATGTGAAGAAGCATCTTGGGGTGCCATCATCAGACTACCCAAGAGTACTAACTGGAAAATCATCTCTGCAGGGCAATATCTAACTAAATGAAAATCTGTCATTTTTGACACAGCAATTCCACTCTTAGCAAAAAGAAAAGAGTATGATAGTTATTATACCATCATAGGTTAAAGGAAAAAAAAAAAGAAAAGAAAAACAGTTTATCAATAGTGGACTGAGACAAATTATAGTACATCCTAGTTCCTCATTCTCTGTCAGTTATATTTGTTATAAATACATTCCAGTTTACGATTTTCTTTTCACTCTGGTGTCTTTTTATGAACTGAAGTTCTTAATTATAATGTAGTCAAATGTGTCAGTCTTCTACTTTTGGGTCGCCCTTTTTGTGTCTTATTTAAGAAATACTTAATTTCAATGTCTTGAAGATATCCTGCTAAATTTTCTTCTCTAAGAATTTTAAAATTTAACTTTGATATTTAAATCCTTAATTCACTTGGAATTCCTGTAAAGTGTGGAAGTTCATGTGAATAGTGGAAGTTGATATGCTGCCTATGACATATATTAAATTTCTGTTTTTTATGGGAGCTGTTTCTAAAATCTCTATTCTATTCCTTTTGTTTATTCATCTATCCCAGTACCAACTCCATACTATCTTAGTGACAATTGCTTTTTTATAATAAGGCTTGAAAAATAGTGGAACACAGGCCCTCACGTAACTTTTGCTATTCAGGAATGTCTTAGTTTTCCCTATTTCTTTGGTCTGCCATGTAAATTTTAGATTCAGTTTGTCATATTTCATGAAAAAACTGGTTTGGGGAAAATTGACATTTTTATGATATATCTTCCTGTCCATTAACATGGTATGTCTCTGCAATTCTTCTTTGATTCTTGTTAAAAAACTTGAATAATGTTTTTAAAATTCTCTCTATAAAGGTCATAGCCATCATTTATTAAGTAGCTTTAATTTTTGTTACTATCAATCTTTTAAAAATTAATTTTGTGTATGTATCCAGCATATAAAATGCACATGACATTTTTACATTTATTTTAGATCTGGCAATCTGTTAACCTTTTCTGGTAATTCTAATAATTTTTAGGTAGATAGTTTGGGCTTTTTACATAGATGATCATGTCATGTGTGAATAACGGAACTTTCTTTTTTTCTAAGCCTTATACCTACTATTTCACTTTTAAATTTACTGGATGGACTAAAACTTGCAAAACGTTGTAGAACAGAATTGGAAAGATGGTCTTGATGTTCAGATATACATACGTATGTGTGTATATATATATATATATATAATTTGTTTTGTTTTGTTTTAAAGTCAGATTTATTGAAGTATATTATACGAGCAGTAAAATTCACTGCACAGTTGTGCAGTGATGTACAGTTTCAATCAGATGTACAGTTCAATGAGTTTTGACAAACATACATAGTTATGCAAACTCCACCACCATATAAAAGCATGTAGAATATTTCTATTACCCCATCAAGTTACCCAAGCCCCTCTCTCAACTCTAAGCAACCTCTAACGTGATTCTGTCCATTGGTCCAGAATGGCATATAAATATAATCATAATATATGTAGTCTTTATGTCTGTTTTTTTTTTAAAACTCAGCCTAATGCCTTTGAGGTTCATCCATATTGTTGCATGAATTAGAAAACATTCACCCTCCATACAATCCAGAAATCCCACTCCCAGGTTTTTATCCAAGAGAAAGAAAAATGTATGTTCACACAAAGATTTGTAGGCAAATGTTCATAGCAGCTTTATTTATAATAGCCCCAAACTGGAAACAACCCAAATATTATCAGTTAGTGAATGGATTAACCTATTGTGGAACATCCACACAATGGGATACTGCTCAGCAATGAAAAATGAACTACTGTTCTTGATTTTAAAGTGAATCTTTAAAATCTTTCACAGTAGGAAAGATGACTATTATAAGGTTTTGGTCAATATATTCTTTCAGGTTTAAAAAGTTGGTGAGAATGAGGAAAACTGGAACTCGCATATACTTCCAGTGGAGATGTAAATTGGTACAACCACTTTGGAAAAATGTTTGATAGTATCTAATAAACCTAAACACATGCATACCTTATACTGAGTGGTTCCAGCCTGAGGAATATTCCCATAGAAATGAGTACTGGAATGTTTATAGCAGTACTGTTAATATTAGCCCCAGACTGAGAACTACCCAAAGGCCCATCACAAGTGCAACAGATAAATAAGGTATGAATATTCTCACAATGGAATGCTTTACAGCAATGAGAATGTATGACATAAAACTACATATAACTGTGTTGTCTTTCTCTGATACCAATAACCAATCCTACAATTCCCCATCACCAACTGAGTGTCCAATTCAATTGAATTCTGACACTATCCGGAGTGGGTGCAGACGTACCCCACAGGTTGCGGGCCCAGTTCCACAAGACTACCCCCACCTCAGATTCAAGTCCCAGGGCAACCTGTTCTTCTGACTGACTGGCTATAAATTTGAGGTTCCAAGAACCCCCTCTTCAGATTTGATAATTCCCTAAAACAACTCACAGAACTCAGGAAAGTACTTTATTTACTATTACCTGTTTATTATATATGAAAACATATATATATTCTCCAATGTTTTGGTGTAGTGTTCTATATATGTCCAGTAGACAATGCTTCTTAATTATGTTGACTAAACCTTCAATATTCTTACTGATTTATAAATTATAAAGAGAGGTGTATTAAAATCTCCATTATGGTGACGGTTCTATCAATTTCTCTTTGTAGTTCTGACCATTCTTGCTTTATATATTTTGAAGTTATGTTATTAAATAAACACATTTCAAATTTGTTTGTTATCCCAGTGATTCAAAGTCTTTATCAACACATAATTGCTCTCTAAGCACTAATAATTCTGTTTGGGTAAATTTTACTTTGTATTGGTATTATCGCAACTTTGTAATGTTGCGAGTAAATGGCATATAACTGGATTTTTAAAATTTTAATATAGTTGATAATCTTTGTACTTCAACTGGTGAGTTTAGTTATCTCTATTTATTTTGATTACATCTGTATTTGTATTTATTTCTAAGATCTTATGATTTCCAATTTTCTCACTTTTGTGTATTTCCTTATTTTTTTCTCCTTTCCTGTCTTCTTTGAAAAAAATTTTACCCTTTTATTCCATTTAAACATTCTACTAGTATGGAAGTTAAATACTTTATATTTGTATTCTTAGATTACCTAGAAATTTATCCCCAAAGATTGGGGCTTATCTTCTCCCTAAATACAAGAGTATTAGAACACTTGGAGTAAGATCAATCCCTGCCAACTTTAATATGCTGTTTTGTCCAGTATTTTAGTCTTTATTTAATCTTAAAACCCATAAATTAGAAATTACTTTTAGTGTTTTATATGATTGAAGTCGTTTGATTTGTTCCCCCACCCCCATTTCTCCTTGCATTCAGACTTTGATTCCTAGGTTATTTTTCATCTGCCAGAAACACAGACTTTTAAAATGAGGCACTATTGAGTGTCATCTTTTTCCATTATCATATTCCTGGAAATGTTTCTACCTCACTCTTTTCTTGAAAGATGGTTTTGCTATTATATAATTCCTGCATGCTAAAACATGCTTTCCTATATTCTAAAAGATGTCTGCACTGTGTTCGTGTCTATAGATTCACCTCAATTTCCGATACCTGGTAGTACAAGTCCAACCACCTGGTAGGGTAAGGCCACTCACATGAATATTGATTTTGCATTAAGTAATTAAAATTAATAACTTACAATTTCAAACTCTTACTAATTCTAATAATTTGTCTGTAGA